TCGTATGGTGAGTGTAGAGAACCGGAGACCCGTTTTACTGGGATCGAGGCATTCCATTTTAGTCCTTAGGGAGACAACGCATCTGCATTTTGATTCTTAATCGAATGCAGATCTCTATGCTCCTCAGCATTCTCTTACCATCAGGTGGACTGTGTGCTCATTTGTCACCCTTATCCTATAAAACAATAAACTGGACAGTATGTGTGACGATGTGAGGTGGTGAGTCTTCTTTAGCCACCACAACAAGGGGAACATTTTTCTTCTCCTGTACATGGGTGGGGTTCTTCATACATTCACTGTGAATAGAACTTCATTTGGATTAACTCTAATTATAAGAATTTTAGCGCGACTAATTTAAAATTTTTAAACACTTTACAGCACCACCAAGCTGTTTGATGTCCTGATATCATAGTTTTTTTTTTTTTTTTATAGAAGAGGGGGCAAACGAGCATGTGGCTCACCTGATGTTAAGTGACTACCGCCGCCCATGATCAACTGCAACACCAGGGGAATTGCAGATGCGTTGCCGGCCCTTTAGAAAGGAGTAAGCTCTTTTCTTGAAGGTCCCCAGGTCGTATCGGTCCGGAAAAATCGCTGGTGGTAAATTATTCCACAGAGAGGTTGTACGCGGAAGAAAACTCCTTTTGAAATGTACAGTGGTGGACCGCCAAGCATCCAGATGGTGTGGATGGTATCGGGACGTTTGCCGCGTAGTGCGTTCACGAAATTTGGCGGCTGGGATTAATCCGAACAATTCCTCAGAGCACTCTCCATGGTATATGCGAAAGAAAATGCAAAGGGATGCAACATCTCTTCGCAGTGCCAGAGAATCGAGCCGATCGGAAAGCACTCGGTCGTCGACGATTCGAGCCGCTCTGCGCTGGATGTGGTCAAGTGGAAGGAGCTGGTACTGGGGAGCCCCAGCCCAGAGATGGGAACAGTATTCCATGTGCGGCCGAACCTGCGCCTTGTAAAGTTGCAGGCGGTGTGCCGGCATGAAATACTGTCCCGCTCTGCTGAGCACGCCAAGCTTTTTAGAGGCCAATTTGGCCTTCCCTTCCAAGTGACCACGAAACTGCACGTCACTCGATATGTCGACGCCGAGGATTCCGATACTGGCTGAGGCAACAAGGGGAGTGCCTTGAAACTGAGGGGATACGACAAAGGGGTTCTTTTAGCGGTTAACGCGCAAACTTGTGTCTTCTGGGGGTTAAACTGGACTAGATTTAGTCGCCCCCAATCCGAGACTCTGTCCAGCAGAGACTCGACTTCAGACACAAGTTTGTCCCGGCACTCGGAGACGTTTTCCCGAGAAATATTGGCTCGGCCGGTGTAAAGAGCATCACCAGTGCTGTCATCTGCATAGCAATGAATGTTACGGGTCTGCAACATATCACTGATATGCAGAAGAAACAGCGTTGGCGATAGCACGCAGCCCTGTGGAACACCAGCATTAATAGGCTTGCAATCGGAGCTTGCACCGTCTACAACGACCTTGATGCTCCGATCTGCAAGAAAACTGGTGATCCAATCGCACAATTTCTCGGGAAGCCCATAGGAAGGGAGCTTCGAAAGAAGCGCTTTGTGCCAAACCCGATCGAAGGCCTTCGCAATGTCCAAACTAACGGCCAATGCCTCCCCTTGGACTCTACTGCCTCCGCCCATCTGTGAGTTAGGTAGACGAGAAGATCACCAGCTGACCTACCACGGCGAAAACCGTATTGGCGGTCACTAATCAGCTGGTGATCCTCAAGGTACCTCATGAGCTGGCAGTTTACAATGGACTCCATTGTTTTGGAGAACAAGGAGGTGATGGCGATAGGCCGGTAGTTGGACGGGTCTGAGCGGTCGCCTTTTTTAGGGATCGGGTGGACGAAAGCCGTCTTCCATGATTTTGGGACTACGCCTAGGGAGTAGGAGTACCGGAAAAAACGCGTTAAAACCGGTGCCAACTCTGGAGCACACGTCCTCAGCACAATTGGGGGGATTCCGTCAGGCCCACTCGACTTGTGGATGTCCAGGGAGAGGAGTGCTTTGCGAACCGAGCGCTGAGTGAACTGCACTTCCGGCATGGAGCACTCACACCGCGGGATGGTCGGCGGCGTACTCCCCCCGTCATCGAAAGTCGAGTTAGACGCAAAGAAAGAGCCTAGAAGATCGGCTTTCTCCTTTGCGGTGTGGGCCAGTGAGTCGTCCTCCCTGTGCAGAGATGGAAGAGATGGCTGACAGAAATTCCCCTGGACTGCCTTGGCGAGAGACCAGAATGTACGGGTTCCAGAAGGAAGACGAACAAGTTTCTCGCCAATTCTGCCTATGTGCTCTGACTTTGCCTTGGCAATGACTCTTTTGAAGGACCTAGAGGCGGAATTATACTTCTTTTTTAGAGCGCTGGTGTTTACATCCCTGGACGCTGATGCGTCAGCCCAGGCCTGGTAGCACTCCTGCTTATAGCATGATGCTATTTTACAGGAACGACCAAACCATGGCTGAGATTTGCCTCCAATGGGCACCACAGAGGAAGGAATAAAAAGTTCCATACCCTGAAGTACCACATCAGCGACAGAATCCGCAACAACGTTGGGATCGTCCGGCGAGAAGCAAACCCACCCCCCAGGGGTAGGATGCAAAGAAAGACCGCATCCCATCCCAATCGGCTGACCTATAGTGCCAAACACGGCGGCAGCCTGCAGAATGCAACCGCGATTTCAGCGTGAGTGGCACCACACTCCGGACAAGACAATGGTCCGAGGAGCCTAAAGGGGCGTCGACGGAAATCTGATATCCGTCCGGGTGAGAGGTCAGCAGAAGGTCCAACAGGGAAGGTGCATGATCCTCCACATCTGGAATCCGCGTAGGCGAAGTAACCAGTTGTGTCAGACCATATGCCAAGGCAAAATCATGAACAGATCTCCCCGCATGATCGGTTAAACGTGAACCGAGCCATTCGGCGTGATGGGCGTTAAAGTCGCCGAGGATCACGATCTCTGCGGAGGGGATCTGCTGTAGCAACGAATCTGCAGCCATTTGGACGTGGTCGAAGAGTCGGTCTGTTTCGGCATTACCGCTGTGGGACCTAGTAGAGGCACCCGTAGACGCGCGGATGGTCGTCGCTGTCTACGCGTAGCCAAAGGATGGACAGGTCCGAACCTTCAAGTCTGCCGAGGCGTCGAGAACAGATGTCCTCTCTGACGTAAACGCATACTCCAGCCCGAGGCACAAAGGAGTGTTCCAGTTTGTACCCCAGGTAGGAGAGATACGAGACATCAGCCGGAGAGGACACCTGCGTCTCGGTCAGAAAGAGCAGAGCCGGCCTCGCCGTCTCGAGATGGTAGTGGACGGCGTTTAGGTTGGAGTGAAGTCCCCTGATATTGCAGAAATTCACGGACAGCGTGACAGGGGTTGCCTTGGTCTTGTTGCTCCGTTTGCCCCGAGCAGTTTTAGTCTTGAGCGAAATTTTGCCCCCCCCCCCCCCCCCAGAATACGCGGGGCAGCCTGAGCACCCACGCTCAGAAGTGGAAAAACATGGTCGTGGATGCTCAGCGAGGGATTCTCCAGGGGTGCTGGTACCCTCCTGGGGTAGTCTATCATTGAATTCCACTACCATGTTGATGGGGGGGGATTTGGGCCTCCGGCCACCTGCACTCACCAGACGAAACGCGGAAGCAGAGCTTCCACTTCACGCCGGTATTCTATGAGGTCGTGGTACCACCCCCGGTTTGAGCCGGCCCATACGTGCGACAGCAAAGCTGCCGCGTGGCTCTACCACTGTTATTTTTTTTATTTAACGAAGGCTATTTTAGTTAACGAAAGCTGTCTTCTACTTTTAATTATTAATGTTTGGTCATCATCTACGCAGAACAAGCTTATTGTATCTTGAAGTCTTGCAGTAGTATGCTTGGCTTTGGATTTAATTTTATTAATTATGGGATCCCAAGCAGATGGTAGCACTCAACTATATTCTCTATTGAAAGTCTTTTTTAATTTCAATAGCCTCACAAGTTACACTTGGTGGGAATCGGGGTTATTTTGCGAGTATTTATGGTCGTGCAGGTCTAGAATATCTGATAATATAATGGTTGGGACGACACTGAATATGTTGACATAGTTCCTCAGCGATATGTTCTTTTAGGCGAGTTCTTTTGATATTTCTTCCAAGATGCGTAAAAAAACCCAAGTAATAAAAACTTAACCTTAAACGCAATAAAATTCTCAAATTTAATTTTATTCCACGTGTAGTATTCGCCTAAATATAAAAAATCATTGTAGAACTACATTTATGAAAATTTGAAGCCTGATCGAACGTAAAAATAATATCACCATTTATTTTATGATGCCAATCAATTTTAAATGGGATCAATGATATGGATCAATTATCGCAAATATACATCATACCGTAAATTGATAGACGAATATGAAATATATCACCGTTTTGTTAAACTGAATAAACTTTAATTAATAAAGTATGTAAAATGTAAAATGTAAATAACGCAATTTTGATTCCAAGACAATTGAGCTTTCTTATGAATACCTCAGAAGGCTCGGTGGATATAAAAAGTAGTAGGTCTTTATAGACATATGATATTAATGCAATTATGACAAACTTATTTATTTACGTGTTCCTGGAACATATTTTATCTGTGCCAAATATCAATTATCTACGTCTGATCTTTGGGAATAAAAAAAATTCTTTGCGAACAGACATAAAGACGCAGACACCCAGATGACTCTAATAGTGATCGAATTTTGCTGAATTTGGCACGGAACAGCATTTATTAATGTTGCAAAATTAAAACCCACGCGAGAGAAGCCGCGGGTAAAAGCTAGTAATCATATAAAACTTTATAGAATATACTTACGTATGATTTATTATGTATAGGATAAAATAAAAATAAAACTATTTGTGTTAAAAATAAAAAGTCCAACAGTATAGAAGTGCATAACTTCTTTAAGTAATGATATTGTAATATTGTCAAAAATTAGATGGGTAGACATCGTTGCAGGTGTATATAATCGTGGTGCGTCCGGAGCGCAACGTGCGCGCGAGCCTGTCGGCGGCGCGCTGGCGTGGCGGCGCGGCCGGCGGCGCGGTGTGCGCCGCGCTGGTGGGCACCGCACCGCTGCCTCGCCCGCCCCCACCACCGCCATGCGCCCCGCATGCCGCCCAAACGCCCTCCACGGACTTTTCCACGCTCGACGTCAACGGTTTGGACACACCTCCGACTCGCAAAACGATCGTACAATAGTGGAATTAATGGATTAATAATTTTAGTGTTAAATAACCTCGTTTATCATTCCACAATTTTAACTTTTCCCTTCAAGTCATGTTTAATATAAGAAATTATTTCTATTTATATATCTATATATAGAATAACGCTGACAAACGAGCACACAGTCCACCTGATGGTACGTGGAAGCTGTGGCTCATAGACATCTACGTTTATCTTCGATTACAAATCAAAATGCAGACGCGTTGTCACACCTGAAGAACAAGAAGGTATGCCTCGTTTCCAGTAAAAAGGGTCTCCGTTACACACACCATATGAAACAAATCAATATTGAGCTGCTACATTACGCTGGTATTCTTTGAGAACGTGACCCTATCCTGGTCAAACCGGCCCATTCGAGCTACAACCATATTATTTATTTATTTATTTTTTATTTAAAAACTTTGTTGCACTTAAAATGTACAATTGGCGGAATTAATGCCATGAGCTAAGCAGAGAACTTTAGCAGGTGCCATAAAACATGAGGATAATTTATACGTGAATGTAAATATAAAAATACACATACCATAAGTGTAAATACAAAAATAAGTGTATATTACACAACTACAATTAACCTAAGTAATATATGATAAATTTCATACGATCATTACGAACATATTATACTAAAACAATTTAAATAATTTATAATGTCAAGTCACATATAAGCAAAAACAATTAAATATGAAAGTTGCTGGAAGAAGAAAGGTAGTGATCAGTCACCATCCTCTTAAAGGTAGCAACAGAAGTCGGTTTTCTGATATGAGGGAGTAATTTATTCTATAGCCTTATAGCCTCAGCGGCGAAAGACTGAGACATAAATTTGGTACGGCGAGGAAAAATATAAACTTCTCCAGTCTCGAAACGACTCTGGAATCTTTAGGGTCAGAATACTCACATCACATCATCATGGGTGATTTTAATACAAATCTCTTGGCTTCGCACTCATCCCGTTCCTATAAGTTCATTCAAATAATCGAGTCGGTTGGCCTTCATGTTCTACCTCTACAAGCCACTCACCACAATGCGGACGGGGAGGACACGTGGCTCGATTTAATGCTAACGTCAAACCCCAGCCTTGTCTCTACTCATGGTCAACATTATGCGTCTGATTTCTCCCATCATGATCTAATTTTCCTTTCCTATATCCTGAAACCTAATAAACCCTCACCTAAAATCCTGTACTTGCGTAGTTTTGGCCGTATGGATATAGAGAAGTTGTATCAGGATGCTTCTAAAATTAACTGGGACACAGTGACAGCCGCTCCACGATAGACGAAAAAGTTAGCGCATTTAATAACATATTACTTAATTTATATAATATACATGCTCCTATTAAAAAAGTAAAGCTAAAGTGGCTGCCAACACCTTGAATGACAACAGAGATCCGTGTTGTGATGAGGCGTTAGAGACTGAGCTTTTCAGAAAAATAGAAAAAAGCGGTGTCAGGAAAATTGGTCCATTTTTAAAACTGCAAGAAATCGGTGTTACCAGATGATACGCAACGCGAAACGCCGATATTTATTCTTAGCAACATCATAGCCTCTTCCCCCGCAGATATCTGGAAGTTCCTTGGAACCATGGGTATTAGTAAGAAGTCTCATTCTGAGTTTCAGAGGACAATTGGTTTGGATGATCAAACTGTTATTCAGTTAATGGGTTTACCTCGTCCTAATATCGCTCCTTTCCGCTTCTCTCCAATAGCTACGAATGAGATCAGGAAGGTTACACTCTCCATTAAGTCTAATGCTATTTGTTGTGACAATATCAGTCGCCGTATGATTATTAATATTATAGACCATCTCCTCCCTGATATTTCCCATATAATTAACTTCTCTCTGGATTCTGGAGTTTTTCCGTCACTGTGGTATAAAGCTTACATTATACCACTGCCAAAAATTTCATTCATCAAACATTCTTCCCTTTTTATCAAAGGTGCTAGAGGCTTGTGTACACAAACAGCTATAACATTTTATCTTCTCGAATAACCTGTTAAGCTCATTACAGTCTTTTTTTCAGGCCATATCATAGCACTGTTTTCGCTGCTCCTCAAAGTCACTGGTGATATTAGGGCAGGCATGGAGGAAACAGTCACAGTACTGGTTTTGGTTGACTTCTCTAACGCCTTTAATGCCATCAGTCACGACATCCTATTATCAATCCTTTCACTTTCTATGATCTCTTCTGAGGCTTTGGAGTGGTTCTCATCTTATATTCGAGGTCGCCAGCAGTCACTCGCATTGACGAGTCCTCATCAAGTTGGTGTGACTTGCATGCTGGTGTTCCTCAAGGCGGTATTCTATCTCCGTTGTTATTTTCAATATTTATAAATTTCATTACCCCAAATCTTCAGTGTGCGTATCATTTGTATGCTGATGACTTGCAGTTGTACTCACACGCGAAGGTCGACTGTATATCTACAGCAATTGAGTCTCTTAATAGGGACCTAGAGTATATAAATAAACTGGTCTGACAAGTTTGATCTTAAAGTTAACCCATCCAAATGTCAGGCTATAATAATAGGTAGCCAACGGATGATAAAGAAACTGGATCCCACAGCTTTACCGCCGATCATTTTAACGGTTTTATTTTAGAACTGAGTAATACCGTGAAAGACCTTGGATTGCACATTGACTCCACCTTGAGCTGGCAAACTCAAGTGGCAAATGTTTGTCAGAAAGTGACAGGTATTTTGCGTTCTCTCTATCGCCTGAAGGACTTTCTCTCGTCCAGGACCAAGACGATTATTGTGCAGACCTTAATTTTTCCCATTTTTGACTATGGTTATGTGTGTTATTTTAACCCTAATGCAGAACTCTTGAACAAATATGACCGTCTTCTTAATAACTGCATTCGATTCATTTTTAATCTTCGAAAGTATGATCATGTGTCTACTTATCGCTCTCAACTCAACTGTTTCGTCAGCGCCGTAGTCTACGTGCACTCACTACTCTTTACTCTATCTTGATGTCTCCTAATCCTCCATCTTATTTAACTCCTCGTTTTCAATATCTTAGCTCCAACCATGATAGAATTCTCCGTTCTAGTAATAACCTTTTGCTTCAGTGCCCCCCTTTTATACTAATTTTGTACAACCATCGTTCTTTCTTCAATCTGTTCTTCTGTGGAACGCTCTTCCTTCCGAAATCAGGAGTGCCGAAAACTGGATTTCGTACAAATCTAAAGTGCGAGTACTGCTTGTCAATAAAATGGCAGAATCAACTTAGCGTTCATAGTTAGCCGTGTTTAATATTATATTTAATATATATATATATATATATATATATATATATGTGTGTGTATATATATATATATATATATATATATATATGTGTGTGTGTGTGTATGTGTATATATATATATATATATATATATATATATATTTATGTATATATACTTACATAATGTTTATATATGTATAGATTTAAACGCTTATATATGTGTGAGTTTATATATATTATACATACTTCTTATTACACCTACCTCTTTTATCTCTGCACTACTCTAAGGTAGACTGGTAGATAATGCCTCAGGCATTAAGTCCACCTATATACATCTAATGTGTATATGAATTTAAATAAATAAAAATAAATAATGTAGTTTATTATAACTGCAGCATACCACGTAGAAATTAATGTAGAATAATTTAGTTAATCAATAATTAAACTGGGTAGAGGCGGTGTAAGAATATTTACTACCCCTATAATAATATCCTACATACCGAATTCCGGCCACGGTGGCCTGCATCAACGAAGGCTAGCCATCGGCGCAGGACAGGATTATAGTATCCAAGTGTATGCGCAAGCACAGGTACACTCTCTATTTCGTCACTCTCATAATCCAATGGGACGGTAAACCGACACGACCGGAAAGAGATCAGGCGCAGGACCAACGGCTTTACGTGCTTTCCGAGGTACGGGGGTGAGACACCGCCAACTTCCTGACTCCGGGCAACTACTGAGAATTTCTTGACGGAAAAACTCAATAATTAATTTTTCGGCCCGACCCAGGATTCGAACCCAGAAACTCATGATCAGCAGTCGCACTACTGCAACCACTAGACCGACGAGGCAGTCAAATCCATCATCATAACATAGGGATCGTAAAAGGCCACAGAGAGGAACAGAAACCGGACATTGAACGCATCATCTTCCTGATAACAACTCAAAATTATAAAAACTGCGGTTGCCATCCTGCCTGCCAAGCGAGACAATTTTGGCAAAATTATCCCTAAAAGAAACACTTTGGGAAAGGCCCTAGTGCAGCCGTAGACCTTTATAAGTTGTGAAAGAATGGATGAATGGATTAATATTTTTGGTGTTGAATCATCTCATTCATCATCCTACTGGTTTGATGTTTACTTTAATATCGTGTCTATCTCATATGAATATTGATTATTAAGAATTTGCATAAATATATGGAAAATCATTATAACTAAAAATTGAAATGAAATACATACAGTTTTATTTTTAAATGCACGAGTTAACCACCATATTCCAAAACGCCAATTAAAACCTCTTAAAATAAAACTAATTATATTACTTAACAAGTTAACTCTCAATTATTTCAGAGCGATCAACGTCCACCGATCGGCAAGTCCAGACAGACGAAATGAGCCCAGAGCGGAATGGTTTGTGTCTGGATCCGCGAAAGCTGGCTGAATTGGCGGCGGGGCTGCCCGCCTTTACGGCCGTTGACACCGATGGAGCCCGGCGGCGGCGAGGACTTCGAGAGCCCACCCCTTTATAGCGCAAAGCTGTGCGAGTTCACGCGCAACGCCAACCCGTGCTCGTGTAATCTTTGGATTAGAAGTTATTTAGCTCTTATCTATAACTTCATAATATTGATTTAAGTCTAAATATTTTATTTCGTTTTAATCAATGAAGAGATTCATTCCAATTTGTGATATTAGATTAAGATGTTAAATTAATGATGTTTAAATAAAAGATATTTCTGACAATTCATTATTTTTCTGCTCATCTCAATATTTTTTGAAAATTATAAAAATCATTGTAATTGTATTTGTCGTCTTAATTTGGATAAATATTTATCACATAGTTCGGTTATTGCATTTGTGACTTCTGCTATTTTTATTTTTGGTTCTTTTCTGATTTTTATTTTATTATTCGTAGCGGAAGCCTCGGAATTGTTTTTTGTTCCTTGTGCCATGTTGATAGATATACTCAAAATGGCGGAAACAATCAAGTGTAGCTCGTGTAATATAGTGATATACGAGCTTTTATCCTATATTCAGAACAAAATATCGATAATAGACGAGGAAACGCTGGTGTGAATTTGTATATGGAATGTCACTTGCGAGCGAAGAAATTAAACAAGCTAAGTCGTTATTGTTTGAAGCTATTATTTATTTTGGCCGTAGGGATGCGCACAAAATAAATAATAAATCGGAAGAACAAAGTAAAGGAAGGAAGAGACCTTGTCGATATACTGAACCTTTTTAAATCGACTGAACCACAGAATAAATAATAGTACTACGTATAGAAATTTCACTCTTTAGATGTTGCTGCTACGATGTAATAGCCTACAACCTACATAATTATTATTAATAAGATAAATTGCGCACGCAAGCTAAATAAACCCTTATCGCTGCGCGCGAATGTCCGTATTACTTTGCATCTTTTCCCATTCCCACATCACGGCTGTTTTTCCGTGGTTACTTAGGGCTGTCAAGAATATATTAAAATTAAGTGCTGCTCGTACGTTATTAAGGTTTGCCCTGAAGAGATCACTGTTAAGCGATGAGGCCACCAAATTGTACATAAATTTATATGTTGTGTCCAATAAAGAGTATTAATAAATAAATAAATTAAACGTTTCGAAATGGTAAGTAAAATACGTATGGTACCTATTCTGACTGATCGAATGAACATATTTTTGCTACTATGCGAATTGTGTGCCTAAGGCATGCAACGTACAAGGTCACTCGTCGCGAATCGCGATTTGTTAAATCGCTCGGAAGAAATAGGTAGGTAGTGTAAACAACAAATTAACCTGAAATACGATTCCTAAATGAAATGTTATTGTATTCTAATTAGTTAATAACCTTGAAAACAAAGTTTTAATTTCAGTGCTTTGTGATAATTTAAAATATTTTAATTACAAAAGACTTTTAAGTTACCTACTTCAATTTACCTACGTAAATTTCGACTAAGTTTTGTAATAAAGTACTTAAGTATTACTTCTGTATTTAAATTATTACGTAATTCTGTTTTGCTATAAGTATTTATTTAACAAAAAATGAAATAAATGTACCTTTCATTATCCTTAGGTAACTTAAAAAATTATATTTCTGAATCCTTTTGTTTGCTCATTATGCACACATCCACGCATCAATTATAGAAGGTTCGAAATTTTGCCATTATAATTTATCAAATAGATAATGTATATAAAACACATATATTATTTTTAATTGACATTAAAGTTTTTGGAATTATTTCATCCTACAATTAAATACTAAACACCAAACAAAAATTACAACAAGTGTTTACAAAAAACTATTTACGTAAACAGCAAGCAGCATACATTAATCGCCTAGAACGCGCTAGCCCCGACTGCGTATTACACCCTGGGTGAATCGCGATTTTAGGTAATTATTTCACGCAGGTAGCAAGAGTGACAGAGGCCTGACTGAACCCAACATTATACCTATTTTTGTAGCTCGCGAGTTGAAAAAATTACCCTCTATTCTTTTTGATCATCTTGATGGCACGAAATTATTAAAAGACTTTCTAAAAGTGAACTAGATAAAGTTAAAGCTATGTTACGAAAAAGGAACTGAGTGAGTGCAGATCTGAGTTACTACAGTTGATAAATGACTGCATGTGTCCCCACAGAACGCTTAGATCGTGTAAAATTTACAACAATAAGAATAAATCCTCAAAATTCCAAACAAAACACTGGTACTTCACTGGAAAGGAAGACAATCCGATCTTGGTCTCGCTACTGCTCCTGTTTGACAAATACTCAGTTCAATGAAAACGATGATGTGGTAGTATACGTAAAGAATGTTTACAGAGCACTTGTCAAGGAAATAAATTTACATAAAGCTTCATGTTTACAAATAAATATAAATCAATACAAAATTTTAGGTATATATGGGAGAAAGTTTATTTTTAATCTGTTTTTATGTTAGTTTTTAGTCATGGCATGGGAACGTTTTTGGGTAGTCTGTGGTTACGATGATAAACATTGTAGAGAGGCTAAGCAGTTTAATTCGACCATTCTTTTCTTCGGCGATCCCACAACTATTTTGGGGGCTCGTCCGGGATCCAGAGAAGTATCAGTGTGGAAGAATTAACAACATTTATGAAGAAATCATCAGCAAAATACCGGCAAGTCATTGTGAGAAGTGAACTGTTTTACCGACACGAACCAAGATCGTGCGCGGGAAGTTTTGAATGCTAGTTGCATCGAATGCTTCGGGACGTTGCTACCATCGCACTGCATTACAGACTACGCGTGAGCGGAATGCTGCGGGACGTTGTTCGTTACGTCAATATATTTTTTATTTTTTACAAAATGTAAAGAAAATAAAGATTAGTTTCACGATTGGATTTACGATTTACGGATTTTACGATTGAAGATTATTGTTACAAAAATAATGATTTAAAGAAGATTTTACGATTATTGAAGACTTGTGAAGATTTTTATATTTGAAGAATAACATTTCAAGATGCCGCCGAAAAAAGATATTAAAGATGGAGAAGAACGAGAATCACGTGAAATCACGTCCTATATCTCGTTTGCAGATGTGGAGAAGTCGATGACGTCATTTAGTGGTGATGATTCTTACCCGATTTTAACATGGTTTGAAGAATTTGAAGACACGGCATTGTTGATGAGCTAGACTGAAGTAGAAAAACTGATTTACGTGAAATGACTCCTAAATGGAACTGTAAAACTATTTCTACGATTGCTCGGAGGTGTAAAACATTATAGAAAATTAAAACAAGAACTCGAAGATGAATTTGGATCTAAATTGAATAATGCAGTCATACATAAAAAACTAAGTTCAAGAAAAATGAAGAAAGATGAAACTTACCAGCAGTATTTTCTCCATATGAAAGAATGTGCACTACATGGAAACATCGAAGATGCAGCACTTATGGAGTACGTTATTCATGGTATCCAAGACAGCGAATCTAATAAATCTATTTTGTACGGAGCGTTAAGCCTTAAAGAATTTAGAAAGAAATTAGATATTTACAAAAGTATTAAAGAAAAGACCTAGACTCGACCCTGTGTATCTACTCCATTTACAAAGAATAATAAATGGTGGAGCCACGTGTTTAAGGCTGTGTTTGAGCCTATGTTTAAGCCTTCGATAGCTCAGTTGGTAGAGCGGTGGACTGTAGAGGAAAATATGCTGACATCCATAGGTCGCTGGTTCAAATCCGGCTCGAAGGACCATAAAATGGTGGAGCCACGTGTTTAAGGCTGCCGAAAATCTAGTTCCCCGGTCAAACCTCAAACCTATTACGCGGGATATTAACTAAAGTGGACTGTATATGCGATTGCTTCTATGCTTATGTGAAGCGACTACTATAGCATGCGGTACAATGCACTCGCTCTTCCCTAAACTAAACTATTACTTGTCGAATCGATGAAAGGAATCCTGCTTGACTAGGAAAAAAACACAAATTGGAGCGGGTTAAATTATTAGCAAGCAGGTATAATTAAGGAGTATTGACTCACCGGGGTTTCTTCTTCCTGTCGATCACTATGGCGGCGACTTCCGGAACCTCCTCTGGACAGACACTTCTGGGGCCCCAGTGGTGCGTCAGGAGAGAAGCGTTGGTTCAACGACGACTGCGGCGGGAGAAGAGAGCGCGCGTCGGTCGCGCGTGTCTTATATATCCTCGGGTCCGATGATTACGCGATGTTCTAGAATCGTCTTCTTTCCCCCTCCCACCCCACCACCCCGATGTGTCGATAGGAGGGTACGAATGATATTGTTTCGGAAGGGAATAATGATTCGACAAATTCCTACCGTCAAAAATAAAAAACGCGAATGGTTTTCCGCGCAACCATCTCCCCCCGCCCTTGAAGGATTTCCTTCAAAAAAAATAACTAAACAACTAGAGCTAAGATCGACTAACAAATAACTAACTAACGCTAAGATTACCTAAATTAAACTACAATTTCAGTCAAAAAAGCTAATTTAAATTATGGAAGAGGCAAGGGGCACAAACGGATAACCGGACGTAGGTAAGACCCAACCGTGGTCTTAACGCGAGCTATCCTAATTACTCCGTCGGAACCGGGAAAGACCTCCTCGACGATTCCTAACGGCCAGTGGAGAGGCGGCGTATTCTCCTTAGTGAGCACAACTACGGTTCCTACAGCTAAAGGCTCTGTCGCTGTGTTCCATTTTTGCCGAGACTGCAAAGTATGCAAGTATTCCATCCTCCATCGTTTCCAAAACGATTGCACTAACCGATCTAATAATTTGTGGCGTGTGGAAATGTTAAGTCTGTTCTCATCCATATCCGCGGCGGGCAGATACCTTAGAGGCGTTAAAGTCAAAAAATGTGCTGGAGTTAGAGCCAGCGGTTCCGAGGGGTCACTAGATAACGTCCGACAAAGTGGGCGGCTATTCATTACGCATTCAATTTGAGCGAGCACCGTACGTATCTCTTCGAAGGACAAAATTTGATCTCCTATTACTCGGTATAAGTGGCTCTTTAGACTTTTAATATTAGTCTCCCAATTGCCCCCAAAATGACTCG